ATCAGCTATTTTTTCCAAGTTACGGCTGCTTGCGAACTGTTCGACGAAGCGATCAATCAGTGATGCGAAAATGTTTATCGAAGCGTTTGGTAGGTTCGTAAACCACTGAAGAGCTGGTCCAGTAAGACTTGAACCAAATCCCTTGCACATGCTGGCCTCTCTGTACTCTTTTGCAATTGCAGTTGTGTACATGCGCTGCTTGTATTGTGCAATGTGGTTGTCAGGATCTATCGTCCCGTCGTACATTGTCAGCAAGGGAACTGTAAACTTCCTCAGCATCTCTACAAGCGCAATCTCGTCTATGAACGGATTATCTGCGTAGCAGTTGGGGGCGCTCTTTGTTATCGGTGGTGCTACGCAGGGAAGTCGCTGGATTATCGCTTCTATATCCGCAAGACGTCTGAGGACCATGTGTGGATCATCTGTTGATTTGTTTGTAGTTGCTTCGCTAGGGTTAAGTAAAGACTGAATGACTTGTGACCGAACTGCATCTCTAGCCGCATCTGCAGCTGATACATCAGCTGTTGGTAGTCTCACCGTCCTTGCATCCGCAGCTGGTGTAATCACCGTCCTTGCATCCGCGGTTGGTGTAGTCCCATATAATGGATGCATCGGATCAACACGTACTCGAAATCGGTTTCGAGCGTCGACCTATGTGTTTCTGTCTACAGCGAGCAAAGACTCGTTCGTAGCTTTCAAAGTAGCGTTCTCTATCTCGAGCAACGCTAGTCGTTCTTGTGTCTGCTTCCTCTGGGCAGTAAATGCCACCAGCTGAGTAGCAGGATCTTGAATGTCATTACCTTATGTCGTAATCTCGCGATTGTCGTCGCCTGTCATATCTCATGTAGTTGAAACTGTCCCCTCTCTGAAGCGCCAAACTGTTTGTGCAAAATTTAACTAGATCGAATAGAAAACAGTAATACGGAATGACGGGAAGTTGTTAGCTTTATTGATCAATGAGTTTCGATAAGAAATACAAAGAATCAATAAAGAAATCGCAAGGTGATGATTGTGTCGATCGTTCGTCACTCGTCGTTCTTGTCGCTCGTCGTTGAGAGGTGGCAAGAGTTTAGTATTCTAGGGTTTTTGCGTGTGCTTGTGATACCCTCGTCCTTGCGTTGGGACTCTGTATATATAGTTTTTGTGAACCATAGTCCTTGTTGGACTGGGCCTGTCTCTAGTCGGTCCATCCTAATTGTTTTAGGAGTAGCACGCTATATCGGTCGCTCATCATATTTCCCTTAGAAATAAGTTAAGTCGGGTGATGGACATCATGTCGGTCCTTAGTTATATTTTCATTAGAAATATGTTAAGTCGGTGGTTTTGCTAAACTGTTGGTTATTAATAAATTGGTGTTGAAGTCGTCGGTCGGTGGTTAACCCACAAACCGGACGTCGTTGGTGGTTAAGACTGTTTATCGGTGGTCATTAGTTATATCGAATGCCATGGTCAGTGCCATGGCTTGCGACTCCGTGTTCATTGTCAGAGACTACTAAAAGCTCCATGAAGCGAAGAAATAATAGCGACTGACTGAACATGTCTCGAATCTGCATAACTTATGCCTTATGAACCACGTTCCGGTAGTGACTAACTAGTGAATTTATTTACACCCAACACGTATAGTTTTACTTTGCTAAGTAATATCTTACGGATCTGTGTTGTCACTTTTATTATTTGTAAATCGAATGA